TGGAACAGGTGAGTTCAGGTGAGACAGGTGAGGTCAGATGGAACAGGTGAGGTCAGGTGAGACAGGTGAGGTCAGGTGGAACAGGTGAGACAGCTGTCTGGCATTGTCTCTGCAGGGAGGAGGAGCCTCTGTTCAAAGCGATCCGTGTTGGAGATGTCAGCGGTGTGAAAAACATGGTGATGTGTCCTGGAACAAACCTGATGCTGCCGAGTAAACCAGGCTGGCTCGCCATTCATCAGGCAGTGTGGTACGGCCAAGACGCCTGTCTGAGGGTCCTGCTGTCAGGTAGAGACATAAAGACATCTAAGACATCTAAGACATCACATCAAAGTCCAGAAGACATGAGACTTTAGTCTGTGTGTTTGTGCTCAGCTCAGCCAGGGACCATCAACAAGCGAACTGAACAGGGTGAGTCAGCGCTGCTGCTCGCCGTCAGCAGACAGGAAGTAACATGTGTTCAGGTGCTGCTGGAGAACGGAGCCGACACTGACATCACAAACTATGACAAAGAGACTCCCCTCTACAAAGGTAACAACAGGAAGTGATATTTACATATCTTAATATTTACAGACCATCAGTCACTGATCACCGACTGTATATAAAGATGATCAGTGAATATTCTCCTCTGCAGCCTGTGAGCGGAACAGTGCGGTGATGGTGGCGGCCTTGTTGAATCACGGTGTTGCAGTGAACACTCGTTGTATTCAGGGTTGTACTGCACTTCAGGAAGCTGTTGCTCAAAACAACGTGGAGATCTGTGAAATGTTGCTAAAGGCCGGAGCCAAACACAACCTCAGCAACATGTACGGCATCTCACCGCTGTTTACTGCGGCTCAGACGGGGCAGGTTGCCACCCTGCGCTTCCTCCTGAAACATGGTAACCGGATGGTTTATCTGATTGTTCTACTGCTAATACTTGTTTGCTAACTTCTACCAGTAACTTCTACTGTTTACTACTGCGTCTTTTGAGTGCTAATGCTACTGCTTTTTCTAACTGCTATCTTCTACTGTTTATACTCACAAGTTCTGCTAACCTTCGTCAATTCTGTCAGCTGCTAATTTCTGTTTTTGCAAAGACGTTCTTTGTTAATTAGGCTTTGTTTTTCTGTCTAGATGAAAACCACTTGGAGTGTTGCTGTGTGTGTCTGAACCCTGAACCTGTCTGTTCTCTGCAGGTGCAGATATCAACAGTCAGGCTGCTGATGGAGCCACTGCTCTCTACGAAGCTGCTAAAAATGTACATGAGGAAATTGTGAGGCTCCTCCTCTCACAAAATGCAGATGCCAACAAACCTGGGAAGACCGGATTATTACCACTTCACATCGCTGCTCAGAGAGGAAGTGACACGTAGGCACACTGACTATAATCGCCTTTATTTCAATAATAGCTTTTAATACTAGGCTCCTCAGGATGTCAGAGACTCTCTTAGCAGAGCTGACGTCCACCACAGCAGGTGTTTTCTTGATATGGTTCAAACCCAGTGTGGTCCTTGATTTAGATGTAGTTTCTGGCTCATTAATGAGGATATTTGGTTAAAACTGATTCTTAAAGAAGAAATGAGGCTCAGGCCACAAGAATCAACAGCTGTGTAGAGCTGGGTGTCATCTGCGTAGCAGTGAACATCATTGCTGAGCATTAATCTTCACTTTACAACAAACTTGCTTCATCGTCTAGTCGTATTCTAGAACTACAAAATTCTTCTTCTGGGTCAAAATCTTCTGACTGCAACTCAAAGGCCCCACTTAGTGGCAAAAACGAGAAGCAGCAGTCGGGATGAAAATTGTTTTTGTTGCGTAAGGTTTTGGTCCTGATGGCCTCCAGCCTCCTGCCAGAGGGAAGTGGCTTAAAGAGTCTATGACCAGGTTGGGAGGGGTCGGCCAYAAWCTTACCTGCAYGCCTCMGAGTCCTGGAGACTCACAGGTCCTGGAGAGAGGGCAGGTGGCAGCCGATCACCCCCAGTGGAGCGAATGATGCGCTGCAGTCTGGCCCGGTCCTTGGCTGTAGCAGCGGTTAGCAGCCTAACCCTAACCCTAACCCTAACCCTGTTACGTCAAAATTGTTGATGAGTGTGAATCTGGACTAAAAATGTTGCTTTTTTATGAAGGTGTAAGAAAATATGTAATGGGTCCCATAAACGATCTAACAGTAAAATCAAAACTCTAACTTCACTTCTTTACAAAACACGACTGGTTTCCTGTCGGCTGTCAGGTTCCTGTTGGGAATCAGACTGAGCTAATCCCTGTGATGTCCCCTGCTTCCAGTATCGTGTCCATGTTGATCCCAGCCACCAGTAAGGCCAGAGTCTGGCGGGCCGGCATCAGCCCGCTCCATGTGGCAGCTGAGCGCAACCGTGACGATGTGCTGGAGGTTCTGATTGAAGCAGGCTTTGATGTTAATGCTCAGTTGTCTGAGGAACGATCAAAGCTGTACGAGGACCGCCGCAGTACGGCGCTCTACTTCTCTGTCATAAACAACAACATTGACGCAGTGAGAATGCTGCTGGCAGCTGGTGCCAACCCAAACCTGGACATGTTCAAGCCGCTGATGGTGGCGGCGAGGCAGAGCTGCATTCAGACCACAGTCCTGCTCGTGAAGCACGGAGCTGACGTCAACGCCTGCATCCCCACTCACCCCACCACCTTCCCCGCTGTTTACATGTTCTCCATGAAGTACCTGCCCATGTTCAAGTACCTGCTGGACCAGGGAGGCCACGCCCGCTCCTGCTTTGACTGTTGCTATGGCAGCAAACCTCATCCACCAATCAAAACCACCCGATCAGAGAGGGACAACCCCTATTTCCTGGAAGAGACACAACTGATGAGAGGCGTTCAGGTGACCTGAGTTTAACACGATTAAATAAAGGCATTGACTGATAAAATGATTAATTGATTGATTGATTGACAGTTCTGTGAGATGATCTCAGCCCCCAGCATCTGTCGGTGGGCGGGGCCAATCATTGACGTGCTACTGGACTACGTTGGTCATGTGTCTCTCTGCTCCAGACTAATGGAACACCTGGACAGTTACAGCGAGTGGAGCATCATCAAAGAAAAAGCAAGTCAGTCAATAACGAATCAATAACTGATCGAACTCATCATTGAAGTAAAGACATGTTGGTGTTTAGAGTTTGTTGGTGTTTTTAATTCCTGGTTTGTGTTTCAGCTTCACCGCGGTCGCTGATGCAGCTCTGCAGGCTGCAGATCCTGCAGCTGGTTGTACGTCGACATGTGAAGAAGTTACCGTTGCCTGGAGGTCTGATCCGGTTCCTGCAACATGGAGAAGGATCCTTCGAATGACTGAGGTGTTGCTCATACTGACTGAACCCAGTTTACTCAGTTAACTAAGTTAAGCCCAGTTTACTCAGTTAACTAAGTTAAGCCCAGTTTACTCAGTTAACTAAGTTAAGCCCAGTTTACTCAGTTACAAGATTAAGTTTGTTGTTTGTTAAAGGCTAAAAGATCAAAAATGAGAAATATAGAAATTTAGTTGTTGTAGTTTAGCTGCATCAGCTCAGCATAAACA